TTTTTTTATTTCAGCTGCATGTGTTTTCACAAAAATTAAAAAGTCAAAAATCACCTGTGGAAATAGTCTCGCGGTAAATTTTCGGCGTGAAAGCAAACAATTCTCGACAAGTTGCACGTGTTTTGACAGCCGAATTATTTAGCTGGTCAGCGGCTTCCGCCATAACAATAACAAAACGAGTAAAATTAAACGATGGAGGAATTGACTAGCATTGCCTGTTGACGAAGAATCACGATTTATATAGGAGACTGTGTCTACAATAATCATTAAGATATCGAAAGTGATTAACACTAAAGAATAATGGAAGCTAACGAACGTCAAATAATAAGTCAACTGACAATCGGGGTCATTGAATGACAAGGCTATGATTGAGGCATACTTTGTATCAATTATATTGGGGTAGGTTTTCTCTTGACTTTCTAAATAAATCTTCAACATAAATCGATGTTTGATAATTTGTTGACTAACGGACGTCTTTACATGATGCAAATGTATAACTTGTCTTGATTATATTCAGCTAGAAAATGTTTATTATTTATACAATACGGTCCATTACGTCCATACATAACGGAAATGCCTGTGTCAGTGCTTTTCCCTAAAAAGACTTTAGACAACAGTAAAGGTCAAACGAATGTTCATCACTGTTCTAGGTCCAATAATATGTAAACTTTTGCTCTTTCAAAGCAGAGTTTACAGTAAACATGAACGTTCTTATTTACTCCAAACTGCCGAAAGTCGAAAATGTTGATGTTTTGTTGGCCTGTAGTATCTCCAAAATTTACAGGCGGCAATATTTTATTTTATATTATGTAAGATCAACCTTTAATCTCACCATACAAATAATATTACATTCATAGCAAGTCTAACTTTTGAATTTTAGGGTTTTTATTTCACCCATTTTTAAGGAACTTGGAAATTTCTATTTTAGTCTATCATGAATGATCAATATCTCTGTCCCCAGGGCCTTTGAGCTGACTTCGTGCTGGAGAAGGCCCTGGCATCGGCTGACACTTTACACCCCAAAATTTGGGGTGTGAATTAATTAAGCCACTTAATTTCAATGCGCGAAATTGTTTTATTCTTCAAAATTTCCTATACTTGCTGCTCCAAGACAAGGTAAATGTTATATATTTTTAATCCGCGAGAAATAAGCTATCGGAAAATGTTTGAATCAAATTTATACGATCAGAAATTTAGAAGCTACGAGTCAATTTGGCAGCCGCTAGACTACAATTTAATTGTTTATGTATTAAAATATTTTGAAATCCTCAGCACAAAACTTTGGATAATTTTTAAAATACTCAATCAATATACCTCATTCAAACATATTTGAACTCCCGGTTGTATAGCGATACAGATTATATAAAGTATGTAAAGGTTTGAGCAAGTTTTCACCAAATTTACCGACGAAATTTGATGGCCACATTCTAGACTAAATTTTTAATATGTCTCGACTAACGTGCATAGTCCATTCACTTTTCTTCATTTAAAAATTATTTTCTATCTTAACACCAGGCACATTATATATTTTTGAAATCCTTAGAAGATTTTCTTTCGAAAGATCAGCAAACAGAGTCTCTACAACAAAAATTGGATGAGCTTACATAAGATTTGTAATGTTGTTGCCATGTTGTAAACAATTAAATTGTAGTCTAGCGGCTGCCAAATTGACTCGTAGCTTCTAAATTTCTGATCGTATCAATTTGACTCAAACATTTTCCGATAGCTTATTTCTCGCGGATTAAAAATATATAACATTTACCTTGTCTTGGAGCAGCAAGTATAGGAAATTTTGAAGAATAAAACAATTTCGCGCATTGAAATTAAGTGGTCTTAATTAATTCACACCCCAAATTTTGGGGTGTAAAGTGTCAGCCGATGCCAGGGCCTTCTCCAGCACGAAGTCAGCTCAAAGGCCCTGGGGACGAGGTTGATGAATGATGTCATTTCTATATTTAGAAAACAAATTTGAAAAATTTATAGATACCTTGTTACTTAAGACATATAAAGCTACTATTGTCTGGAAAGATTTAGTTTTATGATTATTTTTGTTTGATGTACAGAGGTTTAAAAATCAGCAAAAATCCACCATTGAGAAACAGCAAAAATCGTAAGTTTAGCCCTCAACTTGACCCCCCTGGAACTTTGCCAAAATGCAATTAGACTGAAAACAAAATGCATTTTGAAACAACGCTTATAAAGGCAATCTCAACTACAAAGTTTGAGAGAAATCTATTTGTTGATCCAAAGAGGTCATGAGGTTCTTACAGAGACTGCCTCTTAAGGTTTTGGAAGGACAACCTTAATTGAATCAGCTGTATAAGGCCGATTTACGTACACTACACAGCTTTTGCCTAAAACTGTTGCATGCATTTAATACCTTATTTTGGTACCAAAATGCAGTAACATACATGAGCATTTTGATAAGCACACTGGATTTTGGTATTTATGAGGGTGCTCATGAGTGTACTGGATTTTGGTACATACAGTATATGGGCGTGCTTATGAGCATACCTTATTTTGGTATCTCATGAGCACGCTCATATATGTACCAATATCCAGTATACTCATGAGCACGCTCATATATGTACCAATATATATACCAAAATCCAGTAACATACATTATATACCAAAATCCAGTAACATACTCATGAGAATTATCATAAGCATACTGGATTTTGGTATATATGAGGGTGCTCATGAGCATACTGGATTTTGGTAAATATATGATACCTTATTTTGGTATCTCAATGGCACGCTCATATATATGTACCACAATCCAGTAATATGCTCATGAGCTTTTTATGAGAACACTGGATTTTGGTATATATGAGGGTGCCCGTAAGCGTACTGGATTGGATTTTGGTGCATATATATGAGCGCGCTTATGAGCATACCTTATTTTGGTATCTCATGAGCACGCTCATATTGATATATGTACCAAAATCCAGTATACGCACGAGCACCTTCATATATATGCCAAAATCCAGTAATATGCTCATGAGCATTTTAATGAGTACACTGACGTTTGGTATATATGAGGGTGCTCATGAGCGTACTGGATTTTTTTAAATATATGATACCTTATTTTGGCAGTAATAGATTATAATCTTGTGAATCCGATGTATGATTGTGTATGGGCGGCCATAAGCATGCATCTAACATTAAAGCCATTGACATTTGGATACACACGTAAAAGACGGACGAGTTGTAACGAACGCGCAGCAGACTTCTAACAATTCTGTTCCAACAACTTGCCAACGTAATGTGTTCGCACTGCTTGTTCTCAGCGTGTTGCGCAACTTGCTACAAGGTTGTTGAGCTCGACACACTTGTTACAAGTTGTTCCAACAACTTGTTATCGTCCTACAATTCAACAATGTGTCAACAAGTTGTGAGTGACAATTTGTAGCAACTTGATAAAATAATCGTATTGTTATAACTTGTTGTCAACCTTGCTAAAAGCCTGTTTCGAGTACCTCTTGTTGACAAGTTGTGACATTATTACGTGGTGAAAAATCCTGCGTACGGTCCGGATAATGGCTGATGCTACAATAAAGCCGGTTTTCCAGTAGGCGGAATTTTTCTTTGTCTTGTGATTTCTCGAGTGGAACTAATTAATAGTAAAGAGAAAGAAAAGTCCTACAATCTTTGCAAAAAGTTAATGAAACGCCTATAAAAAATCAATAAAGTAGACAAAATCCCTCTCTCCTGAACAATGTTGGCCGTAGAGTCTAAAAAATGGTGTTCATTCAGTAATTCATCGATGGCAGAGAACGCTATGTGTAGGTTTTTTACTCATCTTAATCAACATTGTAAGGGGGAAAGAATAGATTAAATTGTTAATCATACAGGATGTTTAATTAGTTTTTGCCAGGATTGTAGGTCCGCGAGGTTCATGTCCCAAGTTTTGCAGCTTTTCGATTCAGGCATTTTTGAAAGGGTTATGATTGGCTGAGTTTAAAAGTCAACGAAGTTCTTACTGGATCAATCAGTGCCACGAATTTTCACAGAACAAACGTCATGAGTCTGTGAATCTGTGATTAAATATTCTATGAATCTATGGTTAACTATAGTTCTGCAACGTACCAAATTGTAGTCATTTGTTCAACAGTGACAACAAACATTTTAATATAGAACTTATTTTGCAACTATCAAAAAATTCTTAACAACATGACACATCTTGTAATTAAAAATATAAGTTTATCTATTTAATGTTTGATTAATTTGCGACTGCTGTGTTCGTGTAACATCGAAGCGCGCCGCCTGTTAAACATTTTTACAGGAATCAGGTTGACAAGTGTAAATCCACAGAAACCGTTGAACTTTAAATTATTAAGCTACTTAATTTAAGTCACTCAGTCTCAGAAGACTGACCTTCAAAAGTATGAATATATATGATTGATAAAATAATGTACAAACTAAAATTTCAATTATACTGTCGATATACTACTTTGATTACCGAACAAATCGAGTGCGATCGTCAACGTCGCAAACGAAACAACTATCCACAAATGTTCTTTCGATTTATGGGCCCCCATTTATTGTAGCCTTGCTCAGAAAAAATGTCATAGCCATCTAACGGCGTCGAGACAACTCGATGACATTTCTGCTCAGATTCTGACGTTTCGCCTACAATATATTAGATAGCTTAAGATCTACGACGTCGACGTTAGCTAGGACGTCAGGGCTAACCAGAGGACTGGGACTACATTAGGACGACATCCTAGTCCCAGTACGTCGTAGATCTTAAGCTATCTAATATTCTGCCATCGTTCTGGCTGCATCATCCAGTGCGTTGCAGAGCTCAACAGTCGACAATTGTCGCCCCCCCTCTTTCCAAAGAACCATTGTCAGTAACAGTGAAAGATTCGTCTAGTAATCTCAGTCTATCTGATTTCAACAACAGCCGCTTTTGAGAATCTTCTATAAGTATTGTCGTGTTGAGATGTGTAGGATATCCTAGCTAGCATGCAAGCTTTCCTTGTTGACTCTTTTGTGGACTTGGGGGAAAGTGTTCCTGAAGGGATTTTGGAGCGGGATTGAACTACACCAATATTTTGTAAAATGCCTGCAGAACGTCGACGTCCATCCATTGTTCCACCTTTCGTTTCCGAACAAGATATGTTTTTGATAACATTATCTGTACGCTCTCTGATTTTGCCTCGTCTGGTGCTAAGGGTAGCAAGAGTTTTGCTATCTTGGAGGTGACTAGTTCTGTCGGTAGTCTCTTCTGGACTGATTTCACGTTTCCTCATAGTCATGGGATAGTTTGGTTCCTGTTGTTGCTGTTTTGCCATTTTAGCTCTCTTTCACTCGCCAGTTAAACCTTGAAACTAATTTTAAACACAGAGCCAGTAAAGTGTGTAATTCAGCACGGATGTTGCTAAGCATGACAGCAAAATAATTATTCCAAACAGGAAATTGATCTGATAGTTGGTCGTTGTCAAAAATGGATGTTGCAATATCAGCCATCATCATGGCAAACATTACTTGTAAGATATATTCACTTTTCTGATAACAACACTTTAAATTGCGATCAGATGACAAATAAGACTAGCTGTCAGAAAGTACTATTTTACCGGCAGACATTATTCCTGCCGTAACAAGCGAGTATCAAGTAACTGGGGCTTACATTTAAATCCAGTGTTCTCTCTTTAAAGAAAATGTCCTTAAACTAAGGAAATTTGGACCTCTTGAATAATTTCTTCTATCACCATACGTACTCGCCACGCGTTTTTTACTATTCGTCTCGCGATAATCCCGCGCAAGGACGTAGCGACCGGGAGGGTGTGTGTGTGTGTGTGGGGGGGGGGTGTAACCTCCCTCCCTCCAACTTTGAAACTCCGGCAAAATCAGGTAAAATTCAAGTTACAGGTAAACTACGTGAAGCGTTCCTCTTTTAAGTTCCTAACTTGATTGCAATTTTCCTCATTACCTTAGCAAATTTGAAAAACTCCCTTGCAAATTCCTTGAGGGAATTTGCAATGTTCTTAAGAGCCAAATCAATTTTCCTCGGTTCCTGTTAGAAGTTCTTAACTTCCTGTTACAAGTTCCTAACTTCCTGTTCTGTTCTGCGCGTTGTAATTGGCTAACAAAAATAATCCGCCAATGATAACTCTCAGAACAGAACAGGAAGTCAGGAAATTAAAACAGGAAGGAACTGAAAGGAACTTTCTTTGCGTTGGAATATTGCAACGGCCGACAGGAAAATTGCAAATTCCCTCAAGGATTTGCAAAGAGTTTTTCAAATTTGCAAAGCTAATTATGAAAATTCCAAATGAATTAGGAACTCAAAAGAGGAACGGTTCACGTAGTTTACCTGTAAAATTTTGACATTTTCAGGTAGAATTTGCGTAATGAAGTAATTATTTTTGTGAAATGATAACCAACAATTGCTTTAGAAAACACCAGAAACGCAGTCCTAGAGCTTCAAAAATGTAAACATTTTCTTGGCGAGGACCCCCAGACCCCCCTTTTCTCCCGAAACTTAGTATGACTGTGCAAATCATTCACAAAAAGTTTATTATAATTATTACACTTCAGGTAAATTTTTAACATTGAAGTTCAAATGTCAGGTAAAATCCTCCGACCCCCCAACTTCAGATGCTCTGCTACGTCCCTGATCCCGCGTGCTACTGTAGGGGGCTCCTCAGTCTTTCAAAAATCTGTGATTTTAACAGATGCTGCATGTGTAGTATAGAAGGCGGTTGCTTTGATTTTACGCAACCGATCATCTATTAAATACACCGGCTCCGTTATCATGCATCATGCTTCATTTGTGATAATTTGCTTGATCATTTCCTAGTATCCGCCCCCGGCCTCATTAAGAAATCGCCCAGTTGTTAAACTGCATGTGCATGCACATCCGCCTACAATGTCCATTAAACGCTTTGGCGCGGCAGCGGGTTCAGTGCAGCTCGTCCTTGTTAAAGTTATTAAAGTACACGAGGGTACAACTGTAGAGACGTTGAAGAACCTATTAAAGCGAGCAACTGGATTCAACTTGTCAACAGTTAATTCGAAAGATCTAGAATCAAGCCATCGATTGTGTGCATATTAACCCTAACCCTATAAACTAACCTTAAGCCCAGGAAAGTTGCAATCAGAGGAAATCAAGGAAAAGCCATACCAAGATGAACTTTACAAACATATCAAATTTCAGCCAACCTCTCGAATCGGACGAAATGACCTCCACATTAGCCGTATACCTAACCGAAGGAGAAACTGCAGGTCTTGTTGTGTTTCTTGTATTCTTTGGGCTCAGCGGATTTCTACAGAATCTCATCCTTATTCTGTCAAGTTCTCTGACTGACGGATTTGCCGACACGCCTGCGAACCTTTTCATCTTGAGCCTGGCCTGGGCCGATTTGCTGTTATGCGCAGTGTCCGCTCCGCTTCTCATTTACAATATATACCACTCTATTTTCAACATCTATACGACAGTGTCAATTTTTGTTGTTGCAGCGACCACCGGAAGCATTTTCCTTTTGACTTTGAATCGCTTTGTCTCGACAGTAAGACCTCTGAAGTATCCAAAAATCATGACATTCAAACGAAGTGTAGCTATGATCGGAGTTGTGTGGTTTGTAGCCACCCTTGTTTTTGTCGTGGCATTGGCTACCTTGTTCATCGAAAAGAAAACTTTTCTAATTATACCATATGTCGTTGTCTTCTATATAACATCATCCATTGTAATGTATGTGTATATGTACAATTTAGGCAGGAAACATAGTAAACATATCGCCCAACAGATGCATGCAATTACAGGTCAAACACAGGCGACTATTGATGAGTTCAGGGCATTAACTTCGTTGTTTATGATCGCTGGATGTTTCGCAGCATGTTGGTTGCCATTGGCAATCGCATCTTTCTTTATAAACAGATTCGAGGATCCAGCTCAGTTTTATCGTACTTTTTGTTTTACTAGTCCGTTATGTCTGGTAAACGCCGTGGTAGATCCTATTGTTTATTATTATAGAGTTAACGGTTTTCGTTTGTCATTAAAAAAGTTAGTAATTAAGGCGATTTAGATGACTGTTGTAAGTGTTGCATGCTAGCGGTCGAAATATTGGTGTTCATATTTATACTAAATCTGTCTACAAGAGCTGCAAGGATTTACACCACACCTACAAAATTGTGTGCATAGATTTTACTGTTTGTTCACTTTTCGCCCAATGGCCTCGTTTTTGTGTCAAATATACTTACTCGTGTTTTGTGCTTAGTAGGGGTGGAAATTACTTTGTTATTGAGCCTAAGAACAGCAAGAAACAAATTCGTCCAGGAAAATAAGGGAATGTAATCTTTATCTGCCCCTGACCGTGCTAAAATAAGTTAACATGGAAACGAGGCCATTGGGTAAAGGAGAATAATCGGCAAGGTCTATTAGGTAACTGAATATAATTCTGTAAATGTATGAATATATAAGAGTGAAATTATTCAAATAAATCTCAAAACATTTATAGTTGCTCATCATTGACTGGTATTAAAAAGTTTAAGCTTATAATAAATTTAATTGCGTGCAAATTGATTGGTTTTGAAATCCTACTGAGTTGCCGGTTCGTGAAATTTGCTATATTGCGCTCTCAATTTTGAGCCAACCTCTTCATATATCCAGGTGATCTGACGGTGTGCAAAAGGACTGGGACTAGCAACAGGATAGAAATCCAGTTTCGTACCTTTAATCACTTGTCACGCCCTGATTCTTTTGTGAAACTGTTTGAAGCTTGGTGTCTGTGTTTTGCACAGTTGGGAAATGAATATCTGGGACAAATTTGAAATAGAAATCTAATACCGCTGATGAGATATTGACTAATTTTAAACCAGAAATGGATTTCTATTTTACAAGTAGTGCCAGGCCTTTTCCGAGTTCCGAGAGCACCTGGATTAGGTCCACTATCCAGCCTGGATAGTGGACCAAATATTGCCAAATAAACGTTCTAAATTAATTTCTCAAAACGTTTTATTCTGGCATCGTTTTTGCTGACAGAAAAATGATCACCTTGATTTAACTCTTCCAAGAACTGCAGTTTCTGCTTCGCTTAAATACATGCTTAATGTGGACTGGCCGATTCTAAAGCAGAAAAGGTTGATTGAAATTTGAAATATTTGTAAAGTTCATGCAATCTAGTGTTTCTGCTAGTTTGCTTTACTTATAGTTTCTTTCCAGTGCTTAATATGCACACAATCTTGGTATAGCTTGATTTCAAGCGGTTGGATCTTTTAGGGATGGTCTTTCAAAAGGTTGAATCCAGGTGATCATGCTCGCCGTTATTACTTATTAATAGGGTGTCGAAAGAATAATTATTGTATTTCACTTTTAAAACAGCAAGTTCACTTACTCTTTATTGCCTGATACTGTAAAATTTTTCTTTGCCTGGCGTTTGCCGTATGATGTATAACACGAAGCTTAAACTCTCTAATAGTTTTTCTTGCCAAAGCATTTAAGCGCATTACTATGCACTGGGCATTATTGTGGACGTGGAGCAGTCATATTTCAGTCTTTTAAAAATCCGTGTGATTTGAGGAGATACTGCATGTGTATTTCATTTGCAATAATTTGCTTGATCATTTCCTGTATCCGACCTCCTCATTAATCAACCAAATAATCGACCAATTGATCTGCTCAGAGGATCCATTAAACCGCGACATAATTTATTATGAATGACAATTCTACACAAGCTTTGTACTCTTTATGCAGTCACTTCTTATGCCTAACTAACGAAAAGAACTCCTGGCAAGAAACACACAAAAAAGCACGCATCGTTTCAGTAAAAATTGAAATACTTTTACCACGTATATGGTAGCAGGAAATCAAATATATAGGTATAGGAATTGAACGTTTACGTCTGGCGTTTTGGCGTTGACAAATTCAGTTTTGCTTCGATAACGACACTAACGACAGGTGCGTGTGCACTTGATTTCGCGGTCAAAATCCCATACAAAGCGTGATTAAATCAATGCCAATCAAGGCCAATGAAGAACGTATATTTTGTGCCTTATGCGAAATTAAAAAAAAACTGGACGTCAGGGCCGTGGCGAGCGGGGGGGAGGGTGTAACCCCCCCCCTGATAATTGCTTATGAGCAATTTCAGGTAGATTTTAGGTAGATTTTCAGGTAAATTTGCAGAAGAAATTCGGGTAAATTAATTCGGGCAAATTCAGGTAATTGCTAGGACAACGGAAAGTTAATGGGGGGGGGGGGGGGGTCGCAAAAAATAATTTTTTGCCAAAAAAAATTTTTCAGGAAAAATTTGAAATTTTGATACTTTTTGGTAGATTTAACAACCCCCGAAGATGAGCCCTCGCGACCAAATGCTGGACGTAAAGAATTCAACAAAGTTATATGTTAAGCCTTGTAATAGAGGCTAAGCCATCGTACACAATTGCCAGTGGACTCAACTCAGATAAATATATTCTTTTATATTAATACGATAAATATTACATTAGTATATTATATATAATACCCCCACTGACGCATAAAGCAATGTATTAAAAATGTATAGGTTTTTAACATGTTTCAGTTATGACAAGAAAATACAATGCCTACACTCACTCAGGGCTAATTCGTCAGAATGTCATCCTGCAACAATAGCATACATTACTGGTCTGACCTTCAAAAATTGAATTGAAATCAATTGAAATAACTGCATTTTAATTTACAATAATGACAAATCTTGATCAATTTGCAAGAATTTGTCATATATTATCAAAGTTCTGTCTTGATCAAAATCTTAAGGGCTTATAGCCTCCCCCTCCTCCCTCCCCAAACTGAAAGAAAATTTAACAGGGCGGATTAAGCCCCCCTTCTCCGAGCCCTCCTTCCACTAGACTACACTAGTCTGATTTCACTTGTTGAAAAAAGGTCAATTATTAAACACCTGTGCTTTCTATTTGCTTCGGTGCGCTGTAATCAAATTGTGAGCATATACATAACAGTTTCTTGCACTCTCTCTCTTTGCTCTGAGATAAAGGACACAAAATATTGCTGTACTTAGCAGCTAGCAAAACACACAGCAAAATTATCAACAACAACAACAACAACAACAACAACAACAATTTTTTTATTCCAACCATAAAAGTTATTTACAATATGAATGTATATATGCATACATATATATGCATATACACATATATACATATATATAACAACTCAAACCAAAAAAACACGAAAACACAAATACACAAATAGAGAAACAATTTTTAAGTTAATTAATAATAAAGGGTGCACAAGCTACTATCGTTTAGTAGCTTTCGATATATGACACACAAGTGCCTTATCATCTACCAAACTTTTGCCGGATTCAGATTCCGATCCCTGCGTACTTTTAAGAGCTTCCACTTTATTTCTGAGCATTTGATTTTCTTGTTTTAATGTTCTAATATCGTCTTCCGAATTCGAGTTTTCATCAGCTGTATTAGTCGTATTACATCTGCCGTTGTATTTTTGTTGCAAAGACGTTAGCTGGGTTGTTAAGTTTTGTTTTTCGTTTTCATTTAAGGCCAATTTGTTTTCCAAGACGTATGACTCGTTCCGAAGTTGCTGAACGGTTTGTGTCAGGTTTTCAATTTCACTTGCGAAGTCTGTTGGTAATCGACTGTGGTTGCATGTTGGTTCTGGAGTGCTCGAGTTAAGGTAGGGAATGCATTGTTCACTTTTCACGTCCACACAATGTAGAGTTGAGTAAAATACATGCCGATGTAATTTGTTTTCCAACCAAAACACAGTTGTATTCCTTTCTTATAGCAATGACAATTAACAGACATTTTAATAAAGAATCTAAATTTTAGCTATGTTTTACAACTATCAAAACATTTTTAATATCATGAAATATATTAAGTTCGTTTATATGGCCTATTTATAGTTATTTTACTTTTAGTAAATGTTTTCGTTCGTGCAACATCAGAAACTTTATAAAGAATGTAAGAATTAAAATTGCAGAGGAACGATATTGTTCGGAATGAAATTTTGACCACCGAAAAAATCCAGGGCGATCGCCAACGTCGCAAACGAAGCAACCAACTCCAAATGGGTTTTCCATCTCGTGTGACCGTTCTGAGTGCAAATATCATCGGGATTTAATATCGTCAAAGCAATTCGACTTATCGTAGTTTTTAAGCAGTGATGAATCATTGTTTTCACGTCGTTATAATCGTGCTGGTTTAGTACGATATTTTCTTGAGTGTGAATGTCTACCAACTTACTCGTCACACTATCCAGTTCGTTGCAGAGCTCCACAGCTGACAATTGTTGCCCCTCTCTTTCGAGAAAACCATCGTCTCTTACAATAATGTTTTCGTTTAGTAAATTCCATGCATCTGGTCTCAAGATATTGAACAGATCCATTTGGGAATCTCTTTTTGTGTTTCCAAGTGTTCCGAGATATCCTGCGACCCGATTTTCGTTTAAAACTTTTTGTGGACCCGGACGCCGGCCATTATCAGCTGCCGTTGGAGCAGGAATTATACCAAGATCTTGCCAAACTGCGGGAGAACATCGTTGCTCATTCATGTATCCATGTTGCGTTATGGAATAAGATATGCATTTGGAAACAATTTCTCTTTTGTTTGTAATTCTAGGAGCATCTTGTCCTGCAAGTAAGACTTGAAATATCTGGTCTGCTTTGGAGGAGACTATTTCTTTAGTTTCTTCTGGACTGAGGCCGCGTTTCCTCATAGTTATGGGATGATTTAGTTGCTGCGGCGGGTTTGCCATTTTAACTCTTCTTTCTCTCGCAAGTTAAAACTAAATTTTATGATTCAGTACAGATGTTGAATGCACAAAGAGAAAACAGGAATGACGCTTTGTTGATGCGTACGTTTATGTTTTCTAAAAGCGTTATGTTTATACAAACAAACCGTGGCAGTTGGCAGGTGGAAATCGTTCAGCTCAACTGATTGGCTGCGGAACAAAACTGTTCAAACGCATAGATTAAATTTCTGGCATGTGCTAAAACCTGGACTGGACTATGGACTGGACTGGACTATGGACTGGACTATGGACTGGACTATGGACTGGACTATGGACTGGACTATGGACTGGATTATGGACTGGACTCTGGACTGGATTATGGACTGGACTCTGGACTGGACGATGGACTGGACGCATTTGTGCTAAAACCTGGACAATGGACGATTGTTATTTAGCTACAGTCGTTTCAACAAATTCAGTCTCTGAAAATTCAGTCAGAAAATTTTATAGACCGCTATACTCTCAATTTGACACACCTTAATGATTAATTAAATAGAAATTATACTAGAAGTTACTATCGCAAGGAAAGTGCTGCCTGATCCCCAAGGGATCAAAGGCAGCATGCGCAATTTGCTGAATAAGGGGCTATTTTTATGATCCCGCTTTGCCAAGATGAGATATGAGGCAGGATGATTTAGATGTATTTAAATAAGTCATGATGCACACTTCAGCAAAAAGACGTCATTATTTTCGAGAGATAGCAATAGTTACCACCTGTAAACTGAAAGGTTGTTCAAGCAGCAATAATCTTCTTGAACTACAAGATGCTCTACAACATTTGAGTTCTGTTAACCAGCATTTGAACTTTCGTTTAGCCTGTTGACTTATTTCAATACATCAAAATCATCCCACCTTCCATCATGTAAACAGCCCCTAAGATGCCTGTTCAGGAGGTGGGAAAAGTGCAATTTGAATACCAAACACCTAGCACAAAGTCAAAGGTCAGCTAAATATTCAAATTCTACTTTCTTTGCATGGCCGTTTTTATACGAATACCTTCAATGCTTATAACTTCTTGCTTTTATATCTATAATAATACTGTTAGTGGTAAGCTAGTCTAGCAACAGGTCATGCTACGGTTTTTAATGTCTGCATTGCAGGTTTATTAGCATACCATGATCAGTTGCCATGGCTAGCTTGCCACTCAATACTGTACAATAATACCATATGTATAAACAATAATGATACTTGAATGAATCCATTGGACATGTAGAATTTAATAACAATTTCATATATAGAAATACTAAGTCAGTTTTTGTCCCAATTATCGTTTTAATGGCACCTTCAAGGCTACGCCTATTGCAGAACAACTGAACAATCTGCTGATGGGGAGACAAAATCTACTTGTTGACATTTTTGTTTAATACTGTACATCAGCTTCAGAACTCAGATGACACCATTCTTTGTCATGACTAAAGCCCCGTTTACACTATGCTCAATTTTTGGTACGGCACGGATAAAATTGGTACCCTTACCACTTTTTCGGTTCTTTGACTACCTATTTAGCTAAGCCCCGTCCAAGAGCCTAGAAAGTGGTACGGGTACCAATTTTATCCGTGCCGTACCAAAAATTGAGCGTAGTGTAAATGGGGCTGAAGATTGTACACAGTCAGAACTGCAAAACTATATAATAAGAAAGAAATTGTGAGCATTATCGAGAAATATAGTGTACCCTGAAATGTGGTGACATAGCCAGGTGAATATATGAATGAAGGCCGGTAGAATATTATAAATTTTCATATTGTGCTAACAATGAACATATGTCAAAGGTATATTTTTAGTCTGACCATCACACCTTGTAACTGCATGCTGGTATTAAAGTTAATATATGTAGACAACAATCCACACTGGGTTGATACTGATGATACAATGATAGGAATATATTTATTGCATACAGCATACAGCTGATACAGGTACAACATTCCGCGTTACATAGAGTTTGTGATGAATATGCTACATTTAAATATATAAAATCTCTCAACCGTGTAGTTAAGAGGGCCCTAAGGGGTAAAATGGGAACTGGGATTGATCTATTTTTAGACTGGGAAAATGGGATTTGGGTTGCTGGGACTGGGATTTGGCCACTGGGAATGGGAAAT